GGAATCCATACGACTCGGCTATAGGCAGAACAGATTTCACAACATCTTCATTCTCAATTTGATTTATTTAACATGAACTATATACCATTCTTTCCAAAGCTGGAACTGCCAAAGAAACAATTTTTTTAAGTACTTAAGGAAAAAAATAAAATAGAGTTGGCAGGAAGTAACAAGGTGGAAAGTTTTGTTGCCTGGTACCACACATGCATCAAGAACCTTGAAATACATTTAAAGTGGTAAAACATAATATGAACCGGAAGAAGTAAAACATAATCTAGACACCTTACAGAGAGTTACTATAAAGGCGCAGATGAGAGATAATAAGATATACTAACAAATCAACTAAAAACATCATAACAATTAATCATAATAAAAATTATTATGATCATGCTCTCTTAATTTGTGGTCTTTTTAGTTTCAATTAATTTGAGGATCATTCTCTCTTTCAAGTGCCATAAGAGCAACAACTTGTAAATAAAAGGCAAGGTGCCAAATAGGAGGATATCATTTGTGCCTGCATTGCATCACCAAGTGTTTCATTTGGCATATTGCTGATGAGATAAGACAGACTATGGAACGCGTAAATTGTTGGAGAAGTCATGCTTCCAACATCAATAACCTGCATTACAGAGCAAAACCATCAGTAGTAAGGCACAGTTGCTCCAAAAGAGCGCATCAAGTGATAAATAAGTTTCAAATAACCTACTTAAGAACCAGAAATATGATTAACCTGAATGTAGCAATCGATTGCATTTTTGAAGTCCTTCTGCCGAAAAGAAGTAAAACATAATCTAGACACCTTACAGAGGGTTACTATAAAGGCGCAGGTGAGAGATAATAAGATATACTAACAAATCAACTAAAAACATCATAACAATTAATCATAATAAAAATTATTATGATCATGCTCTCTTAATTTGTGGTCTTTTTAGTTTCAATTAATTTGAGGATCATTCTCTCTTCCAAGTTCCATAAGAGCAACAACTTGTAAATAAAAGGCAAGGTGCCAAATAAGAGATATCATTTGTGCCTGCATTGCATCCCCAAGTGTTTCATTTGGCATATTGCTGATGAGATAAGACAGACTATGGCACACGTAAATTGTTGGAGAAGTCTTGCTTCCAACACCAATAACCTGCATTACAGAGCAAAACCATCAGTAGTAAGGCACAGTTGCTCCAAAAGAGCGCATCAAGTGATAAATAAGTTTCAAATGACCTACTTAAGAACCAGAAATATGATTAACCTGGATGTAGCAATCAATTGCATTCAAGTCCTTCTGCCGAAAAGAGGCATCTCTTTTCTTCAAGTCCAATGTTTGCTACATCTGGTTGGTACACATTTGGAACATAAGCTGCTCGATAGAAATACATGTAAATACATACATAAATTAGTGGCCAATACAAATAGACTATCTAAATGTAAAAAAAAAAACTAAAAAAAAACATGCGGCAATAGATATGTGATAAGAGATCAAACATTTAAAATATAGGCAAAAACTTATACTAAAACCAGAGGTCATGTACCCACGTCATATTAAGAACCTATGCATGTACCCACGTCATATTAAGAAATATGTTTCAAATAGTAAGGCACAGTTGCTCCAAAAGAGTGCATCAAGTGATAAATATGTTTCAAATAACCTACTTAAGAACCAGAAATATGATTAACCTGGATGTAGCAATCGATTGCATTTTTGAAGTCCTTCTGCCGAAAAGAGGCATCTCTTTTCTTCAAGTCCAATATTTACTGCATCTGGTTGGTACACATTTGGAACATAAGCTGCTCGATAGAAATATATGTAAATACATACATAAATTAGTGGCCAATACAAATAGACTATCTAAATTTTAAAATAAAATAAAAAACATGCGGCAATAGATATGTGATAAGAGATCAAACATTTAAAATATAGGCAAAAACTTATACTAGAATCAGAGGTCATAAAAAAAGACTTGATTACTAAAGTAATGTTGTGGCACTGATTCTTCTAATGTTCATCACCTTTAAAGAATAACTTCTTTGATTTCATGAAGAAGAACTTAAATTCGATTAGTTCTCTGATAGAAATTTAAATACTACTGTATTATGAACAAGTTCTTCATTAATGCAAACCATAATTTAATACTTGCAACATATTTTAATCAGCAGAGCAAGATATAGTTACAACAAAATTAATAATTTCATTCACTTTGATATTTCCATAACAAACAAAATAACCACAACTTCAGCACCTTCATATTAATTACATATACAACAACCAGTACTGATTACTACAAATGAAAGCAACTATCACATTCACAGGTCAACATACAAATATGCAAAGAAGATTGTTGTTATTTCTTCTTCTGCAGAAAAAAATTTCTTTGTAAAGCAGCTAAATTTATACGCTTCTTACCTGACATGTCACCCTATTTTCATCTAAACGAATCAGTATGAAAGTGTTTTGCTGGAATATTTGGAGCATTCTTCAAGCATATTAATGCACTGCAATAAAATTACACATGAACATTAACTTTAGGAATTAGGTGTAACTTCTATTTTACACATGAAGCTCCAAGCTAACTTTGTATTGCAAGGCTTTCCCAAAATTATAACTATATTTTTGTACTAAACACCAAGCTAACTTTGCATTGCAAGGCTTTCCCAAAAGCCATACATCCCTAAAGTAAATTCGAGCGCAGAAACCTTAAAAGCGAAAGAAGATTATTCATCATGTTGCATGATGTCAAAACAATTAAGCATAGACCGAGTTTAATTGAGGTGAAGATAAAATGTTCTATCTCGGGCGAAGAAACTATAATTGAACTACCTGGAGAATCTTCTTGCACTGCACTCGTGCAATTTTATAATATATCAGAAAATGAGATGAAAAGTGAAAATTAGATATATGTTACGAAAATTGAGAATGGAACAATGTAATGTGAGTACGCATACCCGATTATAAAGGGTTTCATCTCATTATTTTGAAAGACTTGGTTCATCTCCACATGGTAATAAAAACCATCGGTAATAAAAACGATTAGCATACATGCAATTCACTGAAATTAAACCCTTCTACACTCCCACGCACGCTCGTCGCAAACGAAGAACCAACGTCAGGCACCGCAGCAACAACACAGACACTCGTTTCGATAGCTTCCTCCATTACCGCAATACCTCATTCCGCCAATCCCAAAACCGTTACATGCTCATCCATTTACAATCGTCAATTCATTCTTCTGATATGGATCACATGAATCATCGACGGAATCAACGGGATCGAGAGGTTTCTTCTTCTTCTTGGATGCTCGGTGCTTACGTTTCTTGCGATGGGGGGAGTTGCTGGGTCCGATTTCGGAGGAAAACCTCGAAGGAGAGCATTGTGTTGAGAATGAGATGGTGAAAGTGAGAATGAACGTTGTGTAAATTTTAATTCGATTAGTTTTTGATTTTTCTGTTCTTTATCATCCGTAGAGTAGTTGATTTTTCAAGTTAGCATAGATTTCAAGAAAAGCACCATAACCAAATGCATTGTTATTTGCTACTCTCTATTTGGACAATCACAAATAGTATGTGATAATGTAAATTAATATTTTCTCCTTAAAAATTATTTTTTAGATTTATGGAAAATCTTATAGATACTCAATGAAATAATTTTTTATCTTATATAAACTCTCAGTCAATTAAATTCACTTAATCCAATGCTATCAAACATAAATTGAGTCTAGACCCTATATACATTTTTTCCATTCTCTTAACTAAAATTGTATTACATCTCTAAATATAAAAATCCATAAATTAAATTACACTAATTAAAAAAATTGGTCAGAACATTAAATTTATTCACCATTATATTAAACTTACTCACTATTTAAACAATTTTATAAACTTATCAAAATTAATATTTATAAAACGTATTTATTATTAATTACAGAAAAGATATAATATAATTAAAGTTATGTTTGAAAAAAATAATTAATACACTTTAAAAATTGGAGAAAAAAAATCTTAGGAAAAAAAACTCATTAAAACGGAGAATTTGACAATACTTATGTACTACACAGTGTGCCTAAACAACCTATGCAATGTTTGACCATATATCATGTACCCACGTCATATTTCAAATGCCACTAAAATTCAAAACACAATGTGATTGTTATTAATGAAAAATCAGAACAAAACAACATAAAAACACATATTTTGTTTCGCTCTGATTACAGCATCTCTAAAACAAAATGGTAACACTACCACACAAACAACATAAAATAAAATTCTGTAGGACATTAATAGAGTACAGTGAAAGACAAGACTCAATAGTTTTTGCTGCACCAAAGTCACATAGCCATACTTCTTTGATTCCTAAATTTACATTCAGTATAGCACAACTATAATGAGGTTTTAGATTTATGTTTAGAATTTTGTGACCATGGTGCTATACCAATACATAAGCCAAGACCATGAAAAATTTGCAAGGAGAAGAGGAAAATGAGCTTCAGGGACACAACAATGAAAGATGCTGTCCGTATCTCTTTTGAAAAGGAGTGGTTCGTCCCAATAAAAATGTCTTACATCATGAAAGAATTTCTTCTTCTGTTGATAGTTAAGGTCGGGGGTATGATATCAACACTTAGGTAGTTTACAAAATTAACATACCAAGGCATGTTGGTCACTACTAGGACCTTTTCAATGTTCCACTCTACACAAGAGTCGGGGTCATCATTTTGAATGGTTTCAATTGTAGCTATAAGTCTATCATAGGTAAAGTCGTTATTTATAGGCACTAAGTCCGGTTTTAAAGAAGAGATTCGCAATTGGACAATATCTTTATACCTAACATAAATCGGACATCCACCGATTGAAGAAAAAAACACCTGAAGAACAGGTTCTAATTATATTAAAATTTAAGATCAATTCAGTCTTACTCACATGGAACATTTCCCAATCCGGTTGCATAAACTCTCCCAGATAATGGGAGTTGTATGCAACAAATGAAATATGAAGTTGTGTGAGAAGAAACCCTCTCCGTGCTTGGCAGGATCTGTTCGAACCAGATTTTCAACTGCAAGATGAGAAAACAAAAAATATTAGATAGAATCCACCAAATATGATACAGAAATAGACCAGTAACTGAAAAATAATACTTACCGCCTTCAAAGACTGGAAGACCAAGACATGCCATTCGGGGAATGGCTTTGCCAGTTGGAATCCATATGACTCGGCTATAGACAGAACAAATTTCACAACATCTTCATTCTCAATTTGGTTTATTGAACATGTACTGTATACAATTCTTTCCAAAGCTGGAACTTCCAAAGAAACAATTCTTTTAAGTACTTAAGGAACAAAATAAAATAGAGTTGGCAATAAGTAACAGACACACTCACAAAGAAGGCATGCTGAAGAGCTTTTCTCTAGAAAGCTGCAAGCTTGTTCAATCTTTCCGTGTCAATATCACTTGTTGCTTTAGATAGAAGTAGATGGTCTAATCTAGAAGTGGCAGTACCAGAGTCTGAGTAGGAAGGATCTAAAAGAATAGCTTTTAACTGCAATGATAAAACTGATAACAGTTACACACCAAACGAACAAGTAACATGAATGAAAAACATTAAGGATTAGTAACTTAGTAAAATATACTTTACCTTAGAATATGAAGGGTCCTACAAATTTATGTTCAAGAAATCCTCATTGAGAACCTTTATGTCTGAACTTAGCATTAAGTTAAAAGCATGGCAACACAAACTAAAATTTAATAACTGAATAAGTGGTATCAAAATTTACAGTGTGCTCCTCTGTTCGAGAGGCATCATGGTACAGTATGCAGAAAAAAGATCAGAATAACTACTCGCATGTATGATAAAAAAAAAGCAAAATTTGTGATTATTGTAACACTGAATTAACTATTGGTTGAAAAGCTTCTTGATTATTATAGACACAATATTGGATATTGGAAACCCCAGATAGCTTTATGGTGCCATTCAAGCGTTTAATCTTTTCCTTTTTCAGCTCACATGCTATAATCCTACCCTTTCTCTTCATAAGAGCAGCAAGGTGGACAGTTTTGTTGCCTGGTGCCACACATGCATCAAGAACCTTGAAATACATTTAAAGTGAAAAACTAATATGAACTGGAAGAAGTAAAACATAATCTAGACACCTTACAGAGGGTTACTATAAGGGCGCAGGTGAGAGATAATAAGATATACTAACAAATCAACTGAAAACACCATAACAATTAATCATAATAAAAATTATTATGATCATTTTCTCTTAATTTGTGGTCTTTTTAGTTTCAATTAATTTGAGGATCATTCTCTCTTCCAAGTGCCATAAGAGCAACAACTTGTAAATAAAAGGCAAGGTGCCAAATAGGAGATATCATTTGTGCCTGCATTGCATTACCAAGTGTTTCATTTGGCATATATCTGATGAGATAAGACAGACCATGGCACGCGTAAATTGTTGGAGAAGTCATGCTTCCAACATCAATAACCTGCATTACAGAGCAAAACCATCAGCAGTAAGGCACAGTTGCTCCAAAAGAGCGCATCAAGTGATAAATATGTTTCAAATAACCTACTTAAGAACCAGAAATATGATTAACCTGGATGTAGCAATCGATTGCATTTTTGAAGTCCTTCTGCCGAAAAGAGATATCTCTTTTCTTCAAGTCCAATGTTTGATGCATCTGGTTGGTACACATTTGGAACATAACATAAGCTACTCGATAGAAATATATGCAAATACATACATAAATTAGTGGCCAATACAAATAGACTATCTAAATGTAAAAAAAAAAACAAAACATGCGGCAATAGATGTGTGATAAGAGATCAAACATTTAAAATATAGGCAAAAACTTATACTAGAACCAGAGGTCCTACAAAAAGACTTGATTACTAAAGTAATGTTGTGGCACTGATTCTTCTAATGTTCATCACCTTTAAAGAATAACTTCTTTGATTTCATGAAGAAGTACTTAAATTCGGTTAGTTCTCTTATAGAAATTGAAATACTGCTGTATTATGAACAAGTTCTTCATTAATGCAAACCATAGTTTAATACTTGCAACATATTTTAATCATCAGAGCAAGATATAATTACAACAAAATTAGTAATTTCATTCACTTTGATATTTCCATAACAAACAAAATAACCACAACTTCAGCACCTTCATATTAATTACATATACAACAACCAGTACTGATTACTACAAATGAAAGCAACTATCACATTCACAGGTCAACATACAAATATGTAAAGAAGATTGTTGTTATTTCTTCTGCAGAAAAAAATTTCTTTGTAAAGCAACTAAATTTATACGCTTCTTACCTGACATGTCACCCTGTTTTCATCTAAACGAGTCAGTATGAAAGTGTTTTGCTAGAATATTTGGAGCATTCTTCAAGCATATTAATGCACTGCAATAAAATTACACATGAACATTAAGATTAGGAATTAGGTGTAACTTCTATTTTACACATGAAGCTCCAAGCTAACTTTGTATCGCAAGGCTTTCCCAAAATTATAATTATATTTTTGTACTAAGCACCAAACTAACTTTGTATTGCAAGGCTTTCCCAAAAGTCATACATACCTATAGTAAATTCGAGCATGCGCTGGAGAAACCATAAAAGGGAAAGAAGATTATTCATCATGTTGCATGATGTCAAAACAATTAAGCATAGACCGAATTTAATTGAGGTGAAGATAAAATGTTCTACCTGGAGAAGAAACTGTAATTGAACTACCTGGAGAATCTTCTTGCCCTGCACTCGTGCAATTTCATGATATATCAGAAAATGAGATGAAAAGTGAAAATTAGATATATGTTACGAAAATTGAGAATGGAACAATGCAATGTGAGTACACGTACCCGATTATAAAGGGTTTCATCTCATTGTTTTGAAAGACTTGGTTCATCTCCACATGGTAATAAAAACCATCTGTAATAAAAACGATTAGCATACATGCAATTCACAGAAATTAAACCCTTCTACACTCCCACGCACGCTCGTCGAAAACGAAGAACCAACGTCAGGCACCGCAACAACAACACAGACACTCGTTTCGATAGCTTCCTCCATTACCGCAATACCTCATTCCGCAATCCCAAAACCGTTACATGCTCGTCCATTTACAATCGGCAATTCATTCTTCTGATATGGATCGCATGAATCATCGACGGAATCAACGGGATCAAGAGGTTTCTTCTTCTTCTTGGATGCTCGGTGCTTACGTTTCTTGCGATGGGGGGAGTTGCTGGGTCCGATTTCGGCGGAAAACCTCGAAGGAGAGCTTTGTGTTGAGAATGAGATGGTGAAAGTGAGAATGAACGTTGTGTAAATTTTATTCGATTAGTTTTTGATTTTTCTGTTCTTTATCATCCGTAGAGTAGTTGATTTTTCAAGTTAGCATAGATTTCAAGAAAAGCACCATAACCAAATGCATTGTTATTTGCTACTCTCTATTTGGACAATCACAAATAATATGTGATAATGTAAATTAATATTTTCTCCTTAAAAATTATTTTTTAGATTTATGGAAAATCTTATAGATACTCAATGAAATAATTTTTTATCTTATATAAACTCTCAGTCAATTAAATTCACTTAATCCAATGCTATCAAACATAAATTGAGTCTAGACCCTATATACATTTTTTCCATTCTCTTAACTAAAATTGTATTACATCTCTAAATATAAAACTCCATAAATTAAATTACATTAATTAAAAAAATTGGTCGGAACATTAAATTTATTCACCATTATATTAAACTTACTCACTATTTATACAATTTTATAAATTTATCAAAAATTAATATTTGTAAAACGTATTTATTATTAATTACAGAAAAGATATAATATAATTAAAGTTATGTTTGAAAAAAATAATTAATACACTTTAAAAATTGAAAAAAAAAATCTTAGGAAAAAAAACTCAATAAAACGGAGAATTGGACAATACTTATGTACTACACAGCGTGCCTAAACAACCTATGCAATGTTTGACCATATATCATGTACCCACGTCATATTAAGAAATATGTTTCAAATAGTAAGGCACAGTTGCTCCAAAAGAGTGCATCAAGTGATAAATATGTTTCAAATAACCTACTTAAGAACCAAAAATATGATTAACCTGGATGTAGCAATCAATTGCATTTTTGAAGCCCTTCTGCCGAAAAGAGGCATCTCTTTTCTTCAAGTCCAATATTTACTGCATCTGGTTGGTACACATTTGGAACATAAGCTGCTCGATAGAAATATATGTAAATACATACATAAATTAGTGGCCAATACAAATAGACTATCTAAATTTTAAAATAAAATAAAAAACATGCGGCAATAGATATGTGATAAGAGATCAAACATTTAAAATATAGGCAAAAACTTATACTAGAACCAGAGGTCATACAAAAAGACTTGATTACTAAAGTAATGTTGTGGCACTGATTCTTCTAATGTTCATCACCTTTAAAGAATAACTTCTTTGATTTCATGAAGAAGTACTTAAATTTGGTTAGTTCTCTGATAGAAATTGAAATAATGCTGTATTATGAACAAGTTCTTCATTAATGCAAACCATAATTTAATACTTGCAACATATTTTAATCAGCAGAGCAAGATATAATTACAACAGAATTAGTAATTTCATTCACTTTGATATTTTCATAGCAAACAAAATAACCACAACTTCAGCACCTTCATATTAATTACATATACAACAACCAGTATTGATTACTACAAATGAAAGCAACTATCACATTCATAGGTCAATATACAAATATGCAAAGAAGATTGTTGTTATTTCTTCTTCTGTAGAAAAAATTTATTTGTAAAGCAGCTAAATTTATACGCTTCTTACCTGACATGTCACCCTGTTTTCATCTAAACGAGTCAGTATGAAAGTGTTTTGCTGGAATATTTGGAACATTCTTCAAGCATATTAATGCACTGCAATAAAATTACACATGAACATTATCATTAGGAATTAGGTGTAACTTCTATTTTACACATGAAGCTCCAAGCTAACTTTGTATTGCAAGGCTTTCCCAAAATTATAACTATATTTTTGTACTAAGCACCAAGCTAACTTTGTATGGCAAGGCTTTCCCAAAAGCCATACATCCCTATAGTAAATCCGAGCATGCCCTGGAGAAACCTTAAAAGGGAAAGAAGATTATTCATCATGTTTCATGATGTCAAAACAATTAAAGCATAGACCGGGTTTAATTGAGGTGAAGATAAAATGTTCTACCTCGGGGGAGAAGAAACTGTAATTGAACTACCTGGAGAATCTTCTTGCACAGCACTCTGTGCAATTTCATGATATATCAGAAAATGAGATTAAAAGTGAAAATTAGATATATGTTACGAAAATTGAGAATGGAACAATGCAATGTGAGTACGCATACCTGATTATAAAGGGTTTCATCTCATTATTTTGAAAGACTTGGTTCATCTCATTGTTTTGAAAGACTTGGTTCATCTCCACATGGTAATAAAAACCATCTGTAATAAAAACGATTAGCATACATGCAATTCACCGAAATTAAACCCTTCTACACTCCCACGCACGCTCGTCGCAAACCAAGAACCAACGTCAGGCACCGCAGCAACAACACAGACACTCGTTTCAATAGCTTCCTCCATTACCGCAATACCTCATTCCGCCAAACCCAAAAACGTTACATGCTCGTCCATTTACAAACGGCAATTCATTCTTCTGATATGGATCGCATGAATCATCGACGGAATCAACAGGATCGAGAGGTTTCTTCTTCTTCTTGGATGCTCGGCGCTTACGTTTCTTCCGATGGGGGGAGTTGCTGGGTCCGATTTCGGCGGAAAACCTCGAAGGAGAGCTTTGTGTTGAGAATGAGATGGTGAAAGTGAGAATGACCGTTGAGAATCTGAAGAAAGGGGTTTTGATTTTTTTGTTTACATGTGATTGGAGAATTGAGTTCGTGATTGATTCATTTTACTCTTTTTGCTGTGTTTATATTAGGTTGCAGTATTATATTTACAAGATTAACTTTTTATTTACACACACTTAATTGTCTAATTAAGCCTTAATCAAAAAGATTGTGGTTTTTAAATGTGTTTATATTAATATTTTTAATTATAAAATTAAATAATTTGTTTAATCTCTTTATTTACATCTATTTTAAATTTAATGAAAGTAATTGAAATCTTAATATACTAATATTTTTAATTTACATTTGTTTCTAAAAAATATGATGTAAATTATTATATTGTATTTTTTATTTACATATGTTTTTTAAATATTATGTGTAAATTTTAATTCGATTAGTTTTTGATTTTTCTGTTCTTTATCACCCGTAGAGTAGTTGATTTTTCAAGTTAGCATAGATTTCAAGAAAAGCATCATAATTGTTATTTGCTACTCTCTATTTGGACAATCACAAATAATATGTGATAATGTAAATTAATTTTTTTCTCCTTAAGAATTATTTTTTAGATTTATGGAATATCTTATATATACTCGATGAAATAATTTTTTATCTTATATAAATTATGAGTCAATTAAATTCACTGAATCCAATGCTATCAAACATAAATTGAGTCTAGACCCTATATACATTTTTTCCATTCTCTTAACTAAAATTGTATTAAATCTTTAAGTATAAAACTCCATAAATTAAATTACATTAACTAAAATTATAAGACAAGACTCAATAGTTTTTGCTGCACCAAAGTCACATAGTCATACTTCTTTTATTCCTAAATTTACTTCCAGTGTAGCACAACTATAATGAGGTTTTAGATTTATGTTTAGAATTTAGTGACCATGGTGCTATACCAATACAGAAGCCAAGACCATGGAAAATTTGCAAGGAGAAGAGGAAAATGAGCTTCAGGGACACAACGACGAAAGATGTCGTTTGTATCTCTTTTGAAAAGGAGTGGTTCGTCCCAATAAAAACGTCTTACATCATGAAAGAATTTTTTTTTCTGTTGATAGTTAAGGTCGGGGGTATGATATCAACAGCTAGGTAGTTTACAAAGTCAATATACCAAGGCATGTTGGTCACTACTAGGGCCTTTTCAATGTTCCACTCTACACAAGGGTTGGGGTCATCATTTTGAATGGTTTCAATTGTAGCTATAAGTCTATCATAAGTAAAATCGTCATTTATAGGCACTAAGTCTGGTTTTAATTATTCAAGCCTAGAAAGGTGGTCATCAACTACATTTTATATTCCCTTCTTGTCTCGAATATCTAGGTCAAACTCTTGCATCAAAAGGACCCATCAAAGTAACATAGGTTTATCATCCTTCTTGCTTAACAGGTATCGAATAGTTATATGATATGTATAAACTATAATTTTGGCTCCGACCAGATAAGATCAAAATGTATCAATGGCAAAAACAACAGCAAGGAGTTCCTTTTCGATTATTGCATAGTTAAGTTGGGTGGAATCCGGGGTTCTACTGGCATAGTAAATTACATGTAATTTCTTGTCCTTTCTTTTCCCTAACACGGCACCAACAACGTAAACGCTAGCATCGCACATGATTTTGAAAGGTTTGTTCTAATCTGGGGGTTGCATAATAAGGTAGTCATCTGGGGGTTGCATAATATGATATATAAAGTTTCTAAATATGAAGATATTTAGGAAACGAATGATTGAAGGCATGTTTTCTTGAAGGAGATTTTGCAGACTTTGTGTAGCTTGACTGCTGCAATTTTGAAGCCCAACCCAGTTCAGAATAATGTTATATATTGACTGGTGTTTACCTAGTTTTAGGTAGAACTTACGTGTGTGGTTTTTTAGGGTTTTAGAATTCTTATTTATGAGCCTCTATAATATCATCTTGATAGAAGAGTAGGACTGTTTAGGGTTGTAAGTTCTGTCAATCATCTATGAGTTTTTAGCATTGGTTGTTTGTCTGTCAGATGCTCATAAGCTTTTAAGCATTGAGTATTTATGTGTCAGTTCTCATAAACTTTTAAGCATTGAGGATTGTGTGTCTTGGAATAGTGACTTTCTTTTTTTGTTCTCTATTGTGTTTAGAGTTACTCCAATCGCTGAGTGTGATTGAAGGGGGATTTAAGGATGGTCTCATACTTAGGCGTGTCTTAGGTAGAAGTTAAGCAAAGGGTTGTCATTAAGTGTGTATATTGTAAAATGATATGTTTGTTGTATGGTCTACAAATTGATATTATCTAGTTAATTTCGTCCCTGGCTTGGTAGCCCCCAGAGTAGGAGAGTTGTTATGAACTAGGTAACATATATGTGTGTTATTTACGTTCAACACTGTTTGTTTTTTTGTATATCCTGTTGTTTTATGTTGAAGTCGGATCTGGTGTCTCGACATCTCTTAGGATATCTGAGATCTGACAACTAGAATTTCAATTGGCATTAGAGCAAGCATCATGCTCTGACTCTAGGTGAGATTCAGGGAAGTTACTTTCTGGTGAAATGGACAAGGTGGTGAATTTGTGGTTAAAATACCTATTTTGGATGGTACTAACTATGACAATTGGAAGCCTCGTATGGAAATGTTCATAAAATCCTTGGGCAATAAGGATTGGAAAATGTTATCGAAGGATGGGATCCACCAAAGGTTGTGGGTGCAGATGGAAAGTTTACTGATGTGCTGAAACCTAAAGAAGATTGGAATGATCATGATGAGTCATCATCTCAAGGAAACTCCAAAGCGTTGAATGTCATATTCAATGGAGTTGATAAGATTGTGTTCAAGTTGATAAAGAGTTGTAAGCATGCTAAAGTTGCTTTGGAGACCTTAAGGAAGGTTCATGAAGGAAATCCTAAGGTAAAGTTGGCAAAACTTCAACTTCTCTCCACCAAATTTGAGAACTTGAAGATAAAGGAGGATGAAAGTATTCAGGACTTTCACATGACTATTTTAGATATTACAAATGACTTAAAAGACCTGGGAGAAAAGATATCATAAGATAAGTTGATCAGGAAGATGCTCATATCTCTTCCAAAGAGATTTGACATGAAGGTGATTTCTATTAAAGAATCCAAAGATTTAAGCATTATAAGAGTAGATGAACTTGTAAGTTGTCTTAAGACTTTTGTGTTTGCTATCAACGAAGGGTCTGAAAATAAGAAGAGTATATCTTTTGCCTCTAATATTGAAGACTCAGGGGATAAAGGAAATATGAACTCAAGAGGAGTATATGAGGATCTTGTACTACTGGGAAGATAGTTTAATAGGGTGTTGAGGAACTCCAGGTCAAATGCTAAGAACATGTCATTTGACATAAACAAAAACCAGGACCTGAGAAATAAGTCAAGATTTAAAGAGAAGCCAAACCAAGTTAAAGGTGTCCAGTGCCATGAATGTGAGGGATATGGACACATAAGAACTGAATGTGACACCTGTAATACGGTGGGAGAACTGACTTTTAGGTTTTTCATTTTATCGCAAATGTTACGGATAGCAAGAGTCGCCACTGACTTTTCTTTTATCCAATAAAGGTAAGGGTGAAAAGAACATGAAAGACCTTTTGAGAATTTTCTAAGTAAGGGGGTGAGGGACTATGATCTTGTATTTTTTACTGTTTTTACTAAGACATCCCACATGCATAACATGTCCATTTTTTAGGAAACAAGTAGAGTTAACATTAGGGGTGCATGTGTTAATAGTGTGTTTGATTTGCATGCATTTAATATTTGATTAGGGTTATCTACTTGTTGATTTTATCTTTCCATACAAACCCTAATTACTAGCATTTATATGAAAGCGATAAATTGCGGAAAGTAAATTTACTACGCTATTACATCATTTGGGGATGGGGTATACAAATTTACAAATGGGGATTGCAATAAATTAAACTTAATTATCTATTACAACCATATTGAAATTTGAATAATGTACAAGAAATGAAAATATAATGTACAAGGATATAAATGGAAAAGAAAAGGATTTTGTTTGGTTTTTTGAGGAAAGGATTTGGTTTTGATCTAATTAACTAAAGAAGTAATTAATTAAATTAAGAAAATTAAACCTAAATTAATTAAGAAAAGAAATTAAATTAGAAAGCATGTTTAGATTTTTTTTAGAAAAAGGTTTTAAGTTTAATAAAAATAGTATGAAAATTAATTAATTAAAAGAAAACCTAAATTCTAAGTTGATTTTAATTAAAAAAATAAAATAACTAAACCTAAATCTAATTATTAATTTATTAAGAAAAATAAATTAAGTTTGTTTAAGAAAATATTTTTGTCTTTTGGTTTTTTAAAGGAATAAAATATAAGTGAATATAAATATATTAGATATATAATTAAATAAACTTTTTTTTTTATTAATAAAAATAATAAAAATAATAATAATAATAATAATAAAAATAATAAAGAAAAAAAATAAAAATAAAAGTCAGGGGGGTTTGAAATGAAATTTGGGAGTTTGTTAGAAAAACAGTTTTTTGAAGCCTAGCCCATTAGCACTTTTGTAAACAGAAAAAAAAAAAGTTGGTCCTGTGTTATGACAAGAAGGCAGGGGGTGAGAATAAGCAAAAAGGCAAGGTCCAATGGCCTTAGGCCCAGGCGTGTATGTTGTGTGACAAAACAAAGAAAAATGTTGAAAAATATGACAAAAGGCAGCGCTAGGACTTGAACCCATGACCTTGACCATAAACGCACACTGCCTTTATC